ATATATATATATATTGCATATCTATAACATCCACGCATCTATAGAAACATAAAAACATCCCTACATACATACATACAGACATGTATACATATATATATATATTTAATATATATATTTATTAATATATATATATATATATATATATAGAGTCTAGGAGGAGGCGACGACTAACATCAGCAGGAAGAAAAGCATTAAGAGAGGGGTGAAAGAGAAGGGCGAGGACGAAACAACCAAGAGATAAACCCCAGTGCGGGAAGTTGTCTGCTGCTTTTTCATAAGAAGCAGCAAAGCGTCTTCGACATTGAAATACAACTAAACCCGCAAGCAGCAGAGACAGAGCCTCCAGTGTCTGATATAACCAATCCCCCGAACGGTCATAAGGCAAGTACCTGCAGCAGCAGCAACAGAAGCAGAAGCAGCAGCAAGAGAAGCAGAAGCAGCAGCACTCTCGCTGCAGGAGTGTGGGGAGCGAGGAGACAGCCCATGAAACAAACAGAAATACGCGGAGACAAATGCATGCAGAAAGAGGCATGAGAAGGAGACAGACAGATAAAAAAGAGATTAAAATAAACAAGAGACAGAAAATAAATACATTTAAACAAAGATAAACAAACAACAGACGAAAGAGGAGGAGACAAAGAAGAAAAATAGATTTAAAAACAAACAGACAGAAGGAGACAGACAAATACGAAAAACACGAGACAAGACAATTAAAAGTTAAACAAGGAGACAGATAAAGAAGAAGGAGACAGATAAATAAGGAGACAGACAAATAAGAAAGAGACAGATAAACAACCAGGAGAAAGATAAATAAAGAGGAAGCAGATAAACAGCAGGGAGACAGATAATAAGGAGACAGATGAATGCAAAGGAGACAGATAAATGCAAAGGAGACAAAAGACTTACCCTTCATAAGGAACGATAGAGCAGAGACGAGAAAAGATTAGAAGCACATACAGCTCAAACATTCGCAGAGACACCCCAGCGCAGCTCTTCGTGCCTTCAAGTTTATATAAAACCATCAGAAAAGAAAATGTTGATATTAATGAAGACACTGTCATTAAGAAAGAGAAATCTCCGTCAGAGAACAGATGATACACCAAAAACAAAACTAAAAAAAGTCCCGTCCATGCCTGCAAACAAAACACAAAAAAATAAACAAAAAAATAAACAAACAAATACAAGAAAAAATAATTAAATTAATGAAGTGTTATAAAATTCACAATCGATAAAAAAGAGACAGACAGACAAACAAAAAGCAAAAACAAATAAAGACAAACAAATAAATAATAATAAATACATTTAAAAAAAATTTTACTATTATAAAGAGGAGACAAACAACAGGAGATAGGCAGACAAAACAAACAAACATAAATAAATAAACAAACAAAAATAATTATAAATAATACACACCAAACAAAAAAACAAACAAAATAAATACTAAAAATGAAGACAACGAAGAAAGAGCAGAAAACAGAGACAGACAGAGAGGGAGAGACAAAGAGAGACAAACAAAAATAAACAAACAAAAATAAACAAACAAAATAAACAAACAAAGTAAACAGAGCAACATAGTAATCGCTTTGATAACAAAAGAAAACAAACAAATAAAGTAACAAACAAACAGGTAGACAAATAAAGAGAAGCGCATGCACACACCAGCCCCAAGAAATAAATAGAAGAGAGACAAACAAAGAAAGACAAACAAAAGCAATAAATAAAAAAAAGATTTAATAAGATAACAAGAGGAGACAAACAAATAAAGAGACAGGCAAACAAACAAACAAACACACACACAAGCATATAAACAAAACAAAGAAAATTATGTTCAAACACAAAGAAATAAACAAAGACATGCAAATAAAGCAAACACAAACAAACGAAAAAATAATAAAGAAGATACACCAGAAAATAAACAAAGATAGACAAACAAAAAGCAGACAAAACAACAAAAAACAAAACCCTTCATACAAATCAATAACGGATCCGCATGCCCATTGCCTCTGGAAAACTCTACAAACCCTAAACCCTAAACCCTAAACCCTAAACCCTAGGCCCTGAATTCTGAGCCTCAAGGAGGTCCCCTCTGCTATGCACTGCGCACCAAACCTTGCGATGCCTCATATACATTACACGTTAAGATGCGTGCAGCTAGGGTTTAGGGTTTAGGGTTTAGGGTTTACTTGAACTGAAGCCTGGTGCGTATTCAACCACTGCATCAGCTTCTCGCGGTTCTTGACCACCCGCGCGGCGTCCCTGACGCGCTCCATCCTGAAGACCCCAAACCCTAAACCCTAAACCCTAAACCCTAAACCCTAAACCCGCCGGGGCCCCGGATCTACACCAACGAAATCTTTGAGACTGCAACAGAAGAGTCAAGGGCTCTTCAGTTTTCAGCCTGCGCAGCTGTGGAAGAGTCTGCTGCTGCTGCTGCAAGTGCTTCAGTCGCTACCCCTGCTGCTGCTGCTGCTGCTGCTGCCGCTGCTGCTGCTGCAGTAAGAGCTGCTGCTGACACTACTAGCGTTTCCCAACCGTCGAGTGGGAGACCTAAGAGCCGATTTCGAAGGTCCTGCTGCTAGTGTGAACAGCATAAACGAAAGCAGCAACAGCAGCAGCAACAGCAGCAGCAACAGCAGCAGCAGCAGCGGGCCGCTTACTTTGCCAGTAGTGGAGCCGCAGACGACTCAGGGCGTCAGGGTTTCTTAAGAAATGAAAATTCAATAGAAAAAAAAACAGAAGGACACAAAATAGGTCCTTGAGGGGTAAACCCTAATCCGCAAACCCTAATAGGCAGACACCGCAGCTGCAGCAGCAGTGGTAGCAGCAGCAGCAGCAGCAGCAGCAGCAAGAGCGCAAGCAGCCTTCACTGAAGAAGAAATACCTTAAGCCTGTTAATTGTTTCAATATTCTCCCGAAATAGACGAAGCGTTGGGCACAAACACTGCGCAAACTTCAACAGCAGCAGCAGCAGCAGCAGAACAGCAGCAGCAGCAGCAAGTCTATAGAACGTAAATCGTAGGAGGGGCCCACCAGCCAGCAACAGCCGCCAGCAACCCCTAAATACAGACATAATTTTACTCTTATTTATGCAATTAACAACACAAAAAACATTTTTTATTACTATACTCTTTATGCTTTATAGTTTTTAATACCGTCAGGTAGCAGCAGGCACGCAGACACGGTGCTGCTACTGCTGCTGCTGCTGCTGCTGTACATTGCTCGTCGCGGCTGTTGCTACTGCTGTTGCTGTTGCTGCTGCTGCTGCTGTTGCTGCTGCTGTTTACTCCATTTGCGTTGGGGTGCCTTGTACTTTTATTCGCTCTAAGGAAGACAAACCCTAAACCCTAAACCATATACCCTAAACCCTAACCCCCAGACCGAGCTGTAGAAGGAGCGCTCGACTTATTCTAAGACAACAATGAAGCAGTACATCTAATAAAAGACTTCATTAAAAGCAGCTGCAACCAACTCAAGTGTATGGGTGTGCTGTGCACGGATGCCCAACGCCCAGCTGGGGCTCCTGTGAAGGAGAGAAGGCCTCTTGCACGGCGCAGCACAGGTTTCTGCAGCTTGCTGCAGCTCGTGCTGCACCTAGTGCTGCAGCTCGTGCTGCAGCTAGTGCTGCAGCTCGCGCTGCAGGGAAGCACAGCCAGGCCTCTGCTGCTGCATGCACAGACCGTCTATACACCTAGTGACTACCTACGGGGCCCTCAGGAGGCAGCGTGCAGGCGTGGAGAAGTGCAGCTGCTAGCACAAACATAATATGCTTCATCTGCTTCTTGTTATCTCCCAAGCACCGTATGCCCTCGGATGCCTCGCCACCCACAACAGGATGAGTGGATCGCTCTCTCTCTGTTGTCGCAGCTGGTAAAAGCAAAGCTCAGCAAAGTTTCTCTCTGCTGCTGCTCTTCTTCGTTTTGTTCCGGCTACAACTCCTGCTGTTGTTGCAGTGGCTGCTGCCGTTGCTGGCGCTTCTGGTGTTTGCTGATAGATCGTCATTAGTACTGCTACTGCTGCTGTTATTGTCAATCTCATTTTTGCTGGTATTGTTGATCTTAGCTGCTACCACTGCCGTAGCGTCTGTTTCCTGCTGGTTCAATAAGCAAGCAGCAAGAGATATAAACTTGAATTGTTTCCCCCCTATCTGCTTAACTTCGTACTTGTGTTTTCTGTGGTCTCTACGAGTTGCTACACGTGTATCAGCGGCTCATCTCTCCTCCAGTTTTTACTTCTCGCAATGACATTGCTGCCTTTTCGTGCAAAGTTTTCGGCTTCCTTTTGTTTTTTTCCTCAAAAACGCTTAAGAAATCCAACATTATTGATATGATGGCGTCTCCGCGTTGCCTGTACGTCTATAATACAAAGCCAGCCCGCTAACTCGAGAACGGGCAGTTAAGGGCTCTACCCAACGCATATCGAAATTCTTCGCCTCTTCGCCCTCCTTCTCGCTTGGAAGAGAGTGTAAATCCAGCAAAAATAAGTCGGATGGTTGTAAGTGACTGCTAAACATCGTTTGTCAAATGATTCTTACCTGGTGTTCTTGTGCATTCTGGATGCCTTCTGGCGATGCTACAAGCTGTGAATGAAACTCCTCAGGTTTTTCCTTACGGGGTTGGTTTGCAGCAGCCACGTCTAACGTTAGGCCATACATCAGTGTTTCGGTGTAGACTAACGGGGTCAGAGGGCAGTGGGTTGTTGAGTGCATTGTTTTGTTATTAACTTATTACGCAGTAAGGAGAAAGTAAAGCCACCACAGCAATGTTGATATTGAGATGCATTATGAATTCGCGCCGAAAGGGATAACGAACTTTCAGTCCTTGCAAATAATGCTGCTCGAAGCCTTGCTTCTCCAGTTCTTCAGCTCATTTCACGCGAGTGCAAGTGCAAATTATGCAAACGTTGTTGGTTGATAAAGAAGCAATGGCGCAGAGGCCCAATGACTTGGAGCTGTTGCGGAGAGGAATGGCCCAGTCACGAATTGCAGCACATCTTGTTACAATTTCTGCTGCGAGGCTACCCCACATGCATGCATAAATACGCTTCCTTGCTGCATGCACTGGCACTATGGACAATTGTTGTGCATGAACTTGGCCCTCCCTAACTGCTGTGCGCTCAACTGTCTCCTCAGAGCGTGAAGAAGACAGCGCCTCCGAGCGGGCAGACGTAGGGACATAGATGAGAGAAAGACAAAAGACTGCTGTCTCCATTCTCGCGGATATATGTTCGCAATAAGAGTTGAATTGAACTTCTTCTCTAGGTCGTGATGGGAGTTTAATTAAACTTCTTCTTTACAGGCCATCCGATTCATCTAATGTTCTGCGCGTTTATCTTCGCAGCACTGGAACATCTGGAAGGCAGGAGGTGGCTATGTGCAGCAGCAGCAGCAGCAGCAGCAGCTCCAAGTAGGGCTTGAAGCAAGAATTTATGGCTTGTGGCGCCTCTAGGGCTCATTCTTTCTAGGGTTTAGGCTACTACAGTTTACTCTTCTTGGGGTTTAGGCTTCTTCAATTTACGCCCTATCGGGTTTATTCTTGCTAGGGCTTAGGTTTCTACAGCCTACGCTTTCTGGGGTGGAGGTTTCTAGGGTTTAGGCTCTAGGGTTTACGCTTCCTAGGGTTTAGGGCTTGCAAGGCTTTGGCTTTCTAGGGTTTAGGATTTCTACTGAGGGTTTTATGGTCTAAGCTTTCCAGAGTTAATATTTTGTAGCGTTTGAGCCCCCAGCATTTATTCTTTGTAATGTGTACACAGTTTCTGCTGGAGGCTTCTAGGCGTTATTCTCGCTAGGGTTTACTCTTCTACGGCCAACTCGTTTAAGAGTTTAGGTCTTCAGGGCGTGCGCCTTCTATTATTGGGGTTTTTAGGGTTTAGGGTTTTAGGGTTTGGGTCATCTAGAGCACTTTGTGCTGAACCCCCCTACTAAGAGCTGCGTTGCAGGCAGCAAAATTCCATAAAGCCCGAGCCCTACACCCTAAACCCTACCCGAACTCTAAACCCTAAACCCTAAACCCTAAACTGAACAGAAGCTGCAGATACTCTCTACAGCACTACTTCCACTCTAAACCCTAAACTCTATACCCTAAGCCTACCGTGCAACTGCCTGCAGCCTGCAAGAAACCACGGGGGAGGAGGCAAGAAGCTTACGCCTGGTTAATGAAAACCTAAACCCTAAACCCTAAACCCTAGACTTGTTAGGGTTTAGGGTTTATTTCTGGAAATGGCGCTGCGCAACAAAGCGCAGCACTGGCCATTCGCGGTCTACGTACACCGGACCATACAAATCAGTGAGCTTGCGTTTATACTGATTAAGAACTTGCTGCTGCTTCATTTTAAGAAGGAGTTGCTGCGGCTGCTGCAGCAAAGCCGTGACGTGGGTCGGCTGCTGCTGCTGCAGCTCCTGGAGCTGCCTTCCGCGCTGCACCACAGCAGCAGCAGCAGCAGCAAACCACCGCTCTATTGCCTGTCTCTGAAGCTCAAACGGTGAGGAGGGTTTGCTGTAGAGCGGCCCTGCAGAGGGAGCACTAACTCTCTTTCCTTTCTCTTTTGTACCGAAGCTCCGCGTACACCCTAGCCATGCTGCTGCTGCTGCTGCTGCTGTTGTTGTTGTTGTTGTTGCTGCTGCTGGGCTCACAGACAGGCCTCCTGCTGCCAGAGACAACCCCTTGAAACAAAACACGCGACTTCGAGGGAGAAACCCGCGACAGGCCATCGCCATAAACCCTAAACGCTAAACCCTAAACCCTAAACCCTAACTCGGGGAGAGCCACCGAGCTGCAGCGGCCTCCATCAGGTGAAATAGCCACACACAGAAGAAGGCATAGCTCTACAACTGAAAAAAATGGTTTAGGGTTTAGGGTTTATGCTCTAGGGTTTAGGGTTTGCATCGCACAATTCGCTATTAAGCGCTCCGCCGTCGCCAGTGCAGACAGTAAACCCTAAACCCTAAACCCTAAACCCTGATCAGTAAGACACTATTATTCCATCTTTAGGGGAAGATGACGATGGTTAGAAAGAATGCTTAACAGACAGCTGGGGCCCCAAGAAGACCCGTCTACAGCAGCAGCAGCAGCAGCAGCAGCAGCAGCAATGCTGCTGCTGCTGCTGGGGCTGAGTGGTTTGAGGGGTGGGGTTGTTGTACTTCTTCTTCCTTCTCCTTTTTGCGAGAAGGCAATTAAAGCTGCCGTTTATTTGATTTTTCTTTTAAGGTGTACCTACACCTGAGGCCTTGAGAAGAAGCCAGCAAACAACAGCAGCCCAGACAGCTGCTGGGGTTCGGAGCCTAGGAATTAGGGTTTAGGGTTTAGGGTTTACGTGTTTGTTTGTGTATGCATGGTGTTACGAGTTAATTCTTCTTCTTTATAGGGGCGTCAACGCATGCGTGGCGGCGGGGGGGAGAGCCTTCACCCGCCTCTTGGGCTTCTCGAGGGTCTAGGGTTTAGGGTTTAGGGTTTAGGGTTTAGGAAGATGCCGTATCCGTCTCGCCCATCTGAAATGCATAGAGCCGTCAGTTTGCTGGGGCGATTTTCGCACCCCATTGGGGTGTATGATCAGCCGCCTCCTGCAATAAACACTCATGTGGATGTCTTTGAGTCTGCGACTGCGCACCGCCTACGGGGTAAACCCTAAACCCTAAACCCTAAACCCTAACCCTAAGACCCCTAAACCCTAACAATACACCCTAGCAGCAATCCCTAATCCCTATTCCTAATCCGTAGCCACAAACCCTAAACCCTAAACCCTAAAACCCCAGCCCTCAACCGTAGCTGCAAACCCTAAACCCCAAACCCTAACCCTAAACCCTGGCCGCAAATGATTGGCAGGAAACAGCAGCTGTACGACAGAGCGGATATCATCTTGCCCTGAGCTAGGGTGTGGAATTAGGGTTTAGGGTTTAGGGTTTAGGGTTTAGGGTTTGGGGTTGCGCAGTGCTGCACTTCCTGGACGAAAAGTTCGGGCTAGATTCCTCTGCAAACCCCGGGGTGCTGCGGGCTGCACCATCAACGCCAGCAGCAGCAGCAGCAGCAGCAGCAGGAAGTGATGGTGCAGCAGCAAAACCGCTGTACATACAGCTGGAAGAGATGCTGCAGGAAGGAGGACTGATGCTGCCGCTTGCTGCAGCAGCAACAGCAACTGAGCAGCAGCGAAGGGAAGTAGCAGAGAGAGACGCCATGTCGCACTTCGCTCTCCGCCTCGCGTAAACCCTAAACCCTAAACCCTAAACCCTAAACCCTAGAGGAGCAGCAAACTGTTTGAGAGGGTTTACGTGCATGAGTTTTGCCTGGGGGAAGTATTTGCTGGCTGAGGAGGTGGGATTTAGGGTTTGCTTTGCGGGATTAGGGTTTAGGGTTTAGGGTTTAGGGTTTGAGGCTTTGCTTGCTACACAGGTTCAGCAGAGACCGCGACAGGCAGCGGTGGCTGGTGCAGCAGGAGTGCCGTCTCTTCATGTACAGATTTGGTAAACCCTAAACCCTCTAAATCCTAAACCCTAAACCCTAAACACTTTAAACCCTTAATACTTGAGACAGCGGACCTCTGCATATGTATGTTTTGCTGCTGCGACATTGATGGCAAGGGTTTAGGGTTTAGGGTTTGCCTTAGGGTTTGGTGGTGAGGAGTGGGGGGGGCGGGACGGGGGGGACTCAGGGCGTGCAATTACACCTGAGGGTTTAGGGTTTAGGGTTTAGGGTTTAGGGTTTAGGGTTTTGAACGGGCATTTGCATGCAGACAGACTTTGTGCATTTCGAGGGCTTGAAGATGCATCGCTGAGTTTGCTTTCGAGTTTTCTGCAGCAGGAAGGGATCAACTACGCCTGTGTAGGGAATGAGGGTTTAGGGTTTAGGGTTTAGGGTTTAGGGTTTAGAATTAGGGTCCAGTGCTGGGGAGTTTACCAAATAGTTCGGGGTTTTGGGGTTGCCGTAGGGAGCGTCAACTCAAGACAAGAGAAGCACTTGCATCCTTCTCAACGAAAGTTAGTGTTTAGGGTTTAGGGTTTAGGGTTTAGGGTTTAGGGTTTGCGTGCAGGTGCCGCGTCCGCGAGACCCTGTCGCGGGTTCGCCTGTGGAAAAATTGTGGCGAGCTGCCACCGCCTTTTTGAGGGGCAATATGGCTCAGCAAGTGCAGCATTTATACATCGTAAACCCTAAACCCTAAACCCTAAACCCTAAACCCTTCCTCTCTTAGTAAAGCCCTTAGGGTTTACGCGTCTTTGACGCTGAATATAAAGACCCCTGTACCCTGGGCATTGTGCCGTCTACCTTTAACTCTTTTAAGACCCTAAACATTAGGGTTTAGGGTTTAGGGTTTAGGGTTTAGGGTTTAGTGCTTGGTCTACCTCTCAGGTCCCTTGCTTTCCAGATGCCGGCCAGCTGGTCAGGAACCGTCGAGTGTATATTCAAAGTAAGGGTTTACTGGTAGGGGTTTAGGGTTTAGGGTCTAGGGTTTTAAGGCTGTGTATTAGTTGTATGGCTGTCACTTCTGCTTCCAACCCTGAGACGCCGCACGCTTTGGGGAGCGAGAATCAAAGAATTAGGGTTTAGGGTTTAGGGTTTAGGGTTTAGGGGTGCGTTGCAGATATGATGGCGTACGTGCCTGACTTTGAGTTGGGCACTGTTCTCTGCGGAAAGCTGAGGTGTGTTCGCGAGTACCAGCAAACCCTAAACCCTAAACCCTAAACCTTGAACCCTTAGAGATTGCGAGCCCTTTGGGAGGTGGAGTTTAGGGTTTAGGGTTTAGGGTTTGGTTGCGGTGTCTGCAGAGCAGCAATGAACGCCTCTTTTGACTTACTGGAAGGTCGCCAGATTACTCTGCAGGTGCCTATACACTCCAAACCCTCAATAACCGGCTGCGCAGGGTTTAGGGTTTAGGGTTTAGGGTTTAGGGTTTAGGGTTTGGTGGTTTTGTGCAGAACACAGTCTTTTCTGACTCGCGAGTAGGGAAGCTCCTAAGCGCTGCTCCCAATGTCTACTTGGGTGAGTGTGTAGCGGGGGTTTAGGGTTTAGGGTTTAGGGTTTAGGGCTGGGGGCATATATGGAGAGATAGTGTTCAGGGTTGAGGAAACAGTGCCTAGGGTTTAGGGTTTAGGGTTTAGGGTTTGTGCGCAGGGAGAGACTTCAGCAACAATACAGTAAAAAGTACAGAAGAGCGCCTGACGCCTCAGTCGATAAAACATGTTCGTAATAAACCCTAAACCGTAAACCCTAAACCCTTGCTGCCTTCCTATCGAGCACTAGGCGCAGAGGTAGAGTGCTTCTGAATCGCTTGCCGATGGTTTAGCTTAGTGCTTAGCTTAGGGTTTAGGGTTTAGGGTTTAGGGTTTGTCGTTGAGGGTTTACAGGTGTACAAGAACTCCTTCCCGCCCTGCATGCGCCGTCTATACGAGAGCTACATGTAATCCTAAACCCTAAACCCTAAACCCTAACGAGAAACGTGATCAAGTCGACAGTCTGTGTTGCTGCTACTACAGCTGCTACTGCTGCTACGCCTATTGCTGTTGCTGCTGCTGCTGCTGCTGCAGGGCGGAGCATCACCTTCGTCACGGCGGCCGCATGCAGCTGTGGCTCTTCTTCAAAGTGAGCAGCAGCAACAGCAACAGCAACTGCAGCAGCAGCAGCAGCAGATGCCGCTCTCTTGGCCTGTTGAGGCTAGTCCGGGATCTAGGGCTTATTTAGGGGTTAGGGTTTAGGGTTTAGGGTTTAGGGTTTAGGGTTTTGTCGTTTAGGGAGCCGGAATGACGCTTGAGGAGAATCTTCAGTTCAACAGACAAGTCTGGCGAGAACCGCAGAAATTTGATAAGGAGTACTTCCTAAACCCTAAACCCTAAACCCTAAACCCTAAAGCTGTAACGAGTGCCTGCAGTCTTCTATCGTGGGTCGCTGAAAGGTTAGAACGTGCGCTGCCAGGGTTTGCATTTTTAGGGTTTAGAGCCTAGGGCCTAGGGCTTAGGGTTTAGGGTTTAGGGTTTAGGGTTTAGGGTTTAGGGTGTATCTGCAGGCACGCGTACAACATAAGGCACATGTACGGCTTGGAGGGGAAGAGGGCAAACTATGCGCCTTTTAGATGCTCACAAATCATCAGCGGAGCTGTTACGGGAGTAAACCCTAAACCCTAAACCCTAATTGCTTCCCAGAGATCTCCGCTGTAGAGCCATTCACCATCAGCAATCGCAGCAGCAACTGCAGCAGCAGCAGCAGCAGCAAGTGAAGCAGCAGCAAGTGCATCAGCAGCAGCAGCAGCAGCAAGTGAAGCAGTAGCAAATACAGCAGGAGGGGGGGCGGCGCAGCGCCAGCCCTAGACCCTAAACCCTAAACCCTCGATTTGGCTGTCTGTAAATTCAGAACCCCGGCACAGGAGATGCGCACGGCTGCCCTTTTAAAACGCATGACATAAAAAGACTTCAAAGACTCCTTGAAGATTGGGGCTTGACCTGTACCGAAACCCTAAACCCTAAACCCTAAACCCTAAACCCTAAACCCTAAGAATAAGCCTTCAATGCTGTGCGGTTTATGTATCCTATGCCAGAATAAGCCTCAAGCCCTAGAAACCTATAACCCTAAACCCTAAACCCTATTTGTTTTATAAACCCTAAACCCTAATTGTTTTATAAACCCTAAACCCTTATTCTTGTGGTTCTGTTTAGACAAGGAGCTGCGCCCCGTGCTGCAGCTGGCAGAGAAGGGAGACTACCAACTTGCATGCAAAGATTACTTCATACAAACACACCCTAACAGCGCAGGTAAATGCTGCTGCTGCTGCTGCTGCTGCTGCTGCTGCTGTTGCTGCTGCTGCTGGCGCTGCTGCTGTACTTGCTGGTGGTGCTGCTGCTGTACCTGTTGCTGTGCGTGCTGCTGCTGCCTCTGTAACTGCTGCTGCTGAAAGGCTACGACCCGTTGCTGCAGCTGTACCTGCTGCTGCTGCTGCTGCTGCTGCTGCAGGTGATGATGTGGGGAACCACCCCAACGCATTCTTCGCTGCTTCGCGTCGGTTCTTCGCAGCAGCAGCAGCAGCAGCAACAGGAGGTGCTGCTGCTGCAAAAGGGAAGCAGCCTGCAGCAGCAGCAGCAGATGCGGCTTCGCAAGACAGTGACATGCCTCCTTAAGGCCGCAGGGTATCTGCTGCAGCAGTTGCAGCAGCAGCAGCTTGCTGCAGCAGCAGCATTAGCCTGCTGCAGCTGGAGAAGCAGCAGCTTCCTGCTGTAGCAGCAGACGCAGCAGCATGCTGCTGCAGGTAGAGACACAGCAGCTTGCTGCTACTGCAGCTAGAGACGCAGCAGCTTCCTGCTGCTGCAGATGCTGCAGCAGCTTCTTGCTGCTGCAGCAGCGACTCAGGGGAGAACTGCCCGCTTATTCTTTTTCTCACAGCAGCAACAACACACATCACCGCAAAGCTGGCTAGCTAGCTACAGAACTATCTAAGCAAGTAGCTAGCTAGCTGTGTAGCTAGCTAGCTAGCTACAAACTACTTAGGGGAAGCAATGAGGGAGCCTCGGTACAGCGGCTTACGCAGCAGACTGCGCGCTGTTGCGGGCCTTGCTGCTGCTGTTTCTGCTGCTGCTGCTGCAGCTGCTGCTGGCATTCTATAAGCTGTTTGCTCTGAGGAGATCCGCCTGCTTAGTAGCTGGCTAATGAGCTAGCTAGCTAACTAGCTAGCTAGCTAGCTAGCCGGCCAGCGATAGACTTGGAAACAAAAGAGAGTTTACGGGCGTCGGGCTGTACACTGCGAGGCCTCTGCAGCAAGGCAAGCAGCTAGCTGTCTCTCTTGCTGATGGGGCTGGGGGCTCCAACCTCTGCCCCTCAAAACCAGCTAGCTAGCTAGTTAGCTTGCTAGCTAGCTAGCCAAGGGCTGCGAGCTCAGCCTGCAGCAGCGGGGGCCCGTACCTCCCAGGCAGCAAACGGGAGCAGCACCCCGAAGTTTCAGCCGCCTATCCCCAGGGTTAGCTAGCTAGCTAGCTAGCTAGCTAGGCAACTAGCCAGCTAGCTAGCTAGGCAACTAGCCAGCTAGCTAGGTAGCTGGGTAACTAGCCAGCGAACTAGCTCGGCAACTAGCTAGATAGCTAGCTAGGCAACTAGCCAGCTAGCTTAACCGCTAGCTAGTTCGGTAGCTAGCTAGCTAGCTAGCTAGCTAACCAGCAAAGCAAATCGATAGACAGCTAGCTAGCTAGCTAGCGGGCGTCAATAGTGAATGAACTTCCTGCTACTTTCGTCCTTTGCTACCACAGGGGGCCCCACACCCCCAAGTCTGCTGCCAGCGCGAATCTTGTCTCCTGCTGCCTGCAGCAGCAACACAGACCTCCACACTCGGCTGGCTAGCTAGCTAGCTAGCTAGCTATCCAGCTAGCTAACTGTCTGGCTAGCTACCCAGGGGAATGGCTATGTACCCCCAGCTACCCACAGGCACGCTAGGGTTTAGGGTTTGAGAAGCGCTTGGGCTTAGGAGGCCCCATTAGGGTTTACGAGGGTTTAGGGTTTAGGGTTTACAACGGAGAACTCGAAGTCATGAGGGGCCTCAAACACCAAGACAATAGTGCTGCCTAACCGAAACTCCCCAACATGCGACCCCACACTGAAGTGCAAGGGTTTATCTGCAGTGCACACACGCCCTAGGGTTTAGGGTTTAGGGTTTACAAGGCACGCCCGAGGTGGCTGAGGGTTTAGCTGCCGCCGCTTCAATAAACTCCTCCTGCTGTGAGGGCTTCGGCCTACACACGCCGTGGAACCGTCACAAGGGTTTAGGGTTTAGGGTTTAGGTATTAGGGTTTAGGGTTTACCCCTGTACGTCCTGATGTCTACATCTCCGCCCAAGTGCCTCAGCACCACGCGGTCTTGGTTTGTCCTCAAGTCCTGCACAGCAAACCCTAAACCCTAAACCCTAAACCCTAAACCCTTGATTTTGAATTCTACGCATCAGGAAAGGTTTGTTGAATTAGAAAAAAAGGTTTGAGGGTTTGATGGGTGGCTGCTGCTCCCTGCTGCTGGAGGATCGCTAGGGTTTAGGGTTTAGGGTTTAGGGTTTACGGGTTCTTTCTCTAGGCGGATGTCTCCGACGTTGCAGGCAGCAACTGCAGCAACGTGCAGACCCCCGCCAATCCAAGTGCCGCTTAGAATGACGCGCTCTTGCACACTGAAGATATCCTGAACACAAACCCTAAACCCTAAACCCTAAACCCTAAACCCTAAACCCTAAACCCTAGGACATTTGCAACATGGAGATCTCTCGTTTAAAACGCGCATCTGCGCCAGTCCAGCGCTAGCCCCTCTCGATCAGCCTTAAACCCTAAACCTTAAACCCTAAACCCTAAACCCTAAACCCTAAACCCTAAACCCTAAGCCTTTCTTACATTGAATTTAGCGAGGAAAGACCTAAAAACAGGCAAACACTCCCCATGCATGTGCCTCCGCACAGTTTGAGTGAAGTCGCAGGGGGCGTGAAAATGATGATAGTGATGCGGAGCCAAGTGCAATACGCAGTACATTAGCTGCAGCAAATCAACCAGCAGCAGCAGCAGCAGCAGCAGCAAATGAAGTAGAAGCAGCAGCAGCAAATGAAGTAGAGGCAGCAGCAGCAGCAAATGAAGTAGAAGCAGCAGCAAATGAAGTAGAGGCAGCAGCAGCAGCAAATGAAGTAGAGGCAGCAGCAGCAAATGAGGAAGAAGCAGCAGCAGCAAGTGAAGTAGAGGCAGCAGCAGCAAATGAAGTAGAGGCAGCAGCAGCAGCAAATGAAGTAGAAGCAGCAGCAGCAAATGAAGTAGAAGCAGCAGCAGCAGATCACACTGGTGAAGAGCCTAGTGCAGCACGTAGTACATCAGTTTCAGCAGATACAGCAGCAGCAGCAGCAGCAAATGAAGCAGCAGCAGCAGGTTTTAGTAGTGGTGGTAGTAGTGATGAAAAGCCAAGTGCAGCACGCACTCCTTCAGTAGCAGCAGCAGCAGCCAATGACGCAGCAGCAGCAAATGAAGCAGCAGCACAAGAACCAGCAGCAGCACAAACACCAGCACCCACAGTCGTCTACAGTAGCAGGGGTGCACGGCAGCAGCAGCAGCAACAGAGCAGCAGCAGCAATACAGCAGCAGCAAACGAAGCAGCAGCAGCACCACGGCACTAGCGTCATCTGCGGAAGCAGCAGACGCAGCAGCACAAGCAGCAGCAGCAGCACACGCAGTAGCAGCAGCAGCACAAGCAGCACCATCGGCAGCGAAGCAAATAACACACAACAAGCAGCAGAAACAGCAGCACCGTCAGCAGCAGCAACAGCAGTAGCAGAAGACAAAGCAGCACAAAAACAAGCAGCAGCACCATCAACCAAAGAGGCAGCAGCACCATCAGCAGCCCGAGAAGCAGCAGCAACAGCAGCGGAAGCAGCATCATCATCATCAGGCCAAGCAGCATCAGCAGCACCATCACAAGCAGCAGCATCAGCAACACCCCATGCAGCAGCAGCACTAGCCCAAGCAGCAGCAGCAGCAGCAGCAGCAGCATCAACCCAACCAGCAGCAGCAGCAGCATCAACCCAACTAGCAGCAGCAGCAGCACCAGCCCAACCAGCCCAACCAGCAGCAGCAGCAGCAGCCCAACCAGCAGCAGCAGCAGCAGCACCAGCCCAACCAGCAGCCCAACCAGCAGCAGCAGCAGCAGCAGCAGCAGCAGCAGCAGCAGCAGCAGCAGACCTTATTTCCTTGTTTGGCGGTGGGGGTGGTCCCAAGGAAGCCCTTGAGGCTGTACGTCGCTCCTTTCACCTGCGGCACTCGATCCCCCTCCACCGCACCTAAGATTGAGACCGTGCAGTCGCACGGGCTCACCTGCATGTACACCCCAAACCCTCAGACACACTAATAAACTTACCCTCGTACACTAAACCTGCATGTACACCCCAAACCCTCAGACACAATAAAAAACTAACCCTCGTAAACTAAACCCTCAGACACAAACCCTCTTTAACCCTCAGGCACAAATAAACTAACCCTTGTAAACTAAACCCTCAGACACAAACCCTCTTTAACCCTCAGGCACACTAAAAAACTAACCCTCGTACACTAAACCCTCAGACACAAACCCTCTTTAACCCTCAGGCACACTAACCCTCATAATATAAACCCTCTTGGAAACAAACCCTCATACCCTTATAAACCCTAATAACCCCCTATAAACAAACCTTTAAAAACCCTAATAAACCCTCGTAAACCCTATAAACCCTAATGAACAAACCCTTATAAACACTAATAAACCTCTATAAGCCCTCA